GGGACCCCATGCCAGCCAACCGCAGGGCTCAGAGAGACAAACACGCTTTCGAACTCACATTCACAGCCAAGGACAAGCGAGACTCTTTTTTAACGGATCAACATAACAGCATACTCAGCTCTGGATAACCTGCTTGAATGGGGACCAGCTGTTGCTCCAATGGCATATATGACATCGTGTTTTATGGAAAATGAACTTTTACATGCAATTCATTCTAATTGAACCATTAGTCAAGTTTTTTATAATGGCCTATGTGTTGAAAGGGTACTAAAGTGGCACACAAAAACATGGAATTTACTTTTGAGGTTTGAATCCACTGCCTGATTTTTGATGAACATTTGGACCTTTACGCTACAGTTTTTTCAGAAACAAAATGACAATCAGGATCATCTTTATTGGCCGAGTAAGTTTGAAACTTGTCTGCAGTAATTTGAACCACTCTGGAATACCAACAAACAAGAAACTGGAACAAAATGAACAATTTGGATGCACAGAGTCATCACTCAATTTGAAGCGACCAGCAGTGTAGAAATAATACCCCAACAATTGACCGTGACTTTTAATGTTGGTTGGTATTATTTATGGTAGTACACGGAGAGCCAAGTATTTTTTCAAGGTGGTACTTTGTGTAAAAAGCAACAAATACATACATTTGTACACTAATGAATTGTTTGTAAAGGTTTTTGTTGTCTTACAAAAAATGCTCGTTGGAATGCATGAACGTGCCTCAGACGGAATCGTTTCTTCAGAAAGCTTGAGGCAATTAACACACGAGATGTTGTTTTGGTAGCCAGCGCTGCTGTTAAGGAAACATTGAGGGCACAGTGTCTGGTTAAAAGCAAAGCGACGCAAAAAATAATAACGCAGCGGTTGAAGTTATCAACACTCTTGAGACTTCACGCTGACACTTTAGCAAGTTGGGGTCGTTTATTTGAACACATCCTGAAGTTTGTCAAACTGGGCTGAGCTGGAAAGTCGAATGTTCTCAGAATGAGAGCACCTAGAAGACAATTCAAAATGAAAATGACATTGCGGTTTTCTATACTGTCGTTTGATGTCAAAGGCTTTTGAAGAGTGGAGAATAAGAGGATAATTCAAAGTCGTTAAGTGATCAAGTGAGGAAAAGTAATCAGACAACAGTTTATGCTGGGAATTTCCGCTGCCAACTGGCACTGTCCCAGATGTCAAACTGGCTGGTGGCACTGTTTGATCAAAAGGCCCTCATGTGACGATTGTTTATGGAACGCATTTGCCATTTGCTGGACTGCTTCATGCATGCAAAATTTGCAGTTAAGTTCACTGTTCTAAATCGGCTTGACTACCAGTATGGCCGTAAGTGTTTTACATTCCAGACACTGTTAAAGCATAATTACTACGTCAACCAAGTTGACCAAAATACATTTTTATGAGCTTGAGTTTTCAGTATTTTAAATCAGATGTAAAAACATCTGACTTTTTACAATGAAGCAGTAAAGTTTTTGTTTTTTTTAATTGGAGTTTATATTCCAGAGATAATACAGCTACTTTTTTGTTGCTAATTTATTTGTTGGAATGTGTAAGTGTAGCTTTCAGAGTTTGCTTGAGGTTGTCTCTGGGCCTGAGGTGAAATAGCCACAGTTCAACTGAGAGTCCAGGAGTGTTATCGCAGTTTGTCTCCTGCCCAGGTGTCCTGTACTGTCTGACTGCTCACACCGTTCCATCCTCATCTTTTATTTTTGCTGTGCGTAATCTGACTGTGCAGGTTTGTGTGCATGAGTGATCACTGTGCACTGGAAAAAAATGATGGCTGAATTTACTGAATTTTATGTCTTCAAGTTGAGCTACGCAAAATAAAATCATCCAAAGCCAGATGATTTTTTTATATATAAACTATACATCTACTTAAATCAAATGTATCTGATTCAGATGATGTTGTTTTGTGTAACCACTTGACGAAATTCTTCAGTGTGGCCATGACTTTCAAATCTTAAAAAAAAAAAAAAAAAAAAAAAAAACTTACCGTACTAAAAATGGACCCAGAATGAATTTTTTCCGTCCCTCATCCAGTTCAGGATCACCAAAATTTGAATCACCCTAGCAAACAACTTCAGTCATCCCGCGCAAAAATGTACTGCGATTTAACCGTTGTGCGTCACACATTGCAGACTCATATACTAAGTGCGAGTCAATAACAAAAAAAAGTGCATAAGATATCGGGAGTGTCCACAGTTTGGCGTCAAAGCAGCTAAAGTGCCATTTGCAAATTAAAACTGTCTTAAGTTACGCAACTGCATGTCTACGGTCAAGTAAATAATGTTCGCAAATATAATATAGCCAAGTGCTTAGGACATGGCGAATAGAAACACAGCTGCTTGTGCACTTTAATTCACTGGATTCAGCAAACACTAACAAAATACAGTAAACACAAGCACATTCTTCCACGACCTGCTGATGGCCTCAACTCACTGGAGTAGCTCACGTTTAGCCACTTAATACCCAGGCAATTCTACCTACACATTTGCTGAATGTCACCTTTAAAGACACACGCAGGTCCGGCGTCACAGATACTATCGTGTGAAACATGAGGAGTCCTGTACATCACGTGTATATATTGTCTATGGAGCTTTTAAAAAAACATAGCTACACAAATAATAAAATACACATTTTAGCCACTACTTTGCGATTTCCACTGTTGTGGGCATGGTAAATTCACCTTGAAAGTGATCTTTTAAAAGATAGGAAAACTCAAAGATCAGTGGTGTCTGGAGACAGATTGGAAGATTTTCTCTCTTTCCACGACCCTCCCACCGCCTCACATGCAAGCACAGGGAAAACTCTAATTCAACTTCAAAGGAAACCTGAGCTGGTCATGAATAATCAGACATACCTGTATTTGTCTGCAGTGGAAAACTGTCCATCTGCCTTCCATGCACACACCAAGTGCGTGTTTGTGTTGACTGCAGTTGAGAACTGAATAATGAACTGACAGCGATCATGCAAACAACCCAATCGATGAATAACTGTTTGACTTGTAATATACAAAATAAGTTTTGAGAAGGTCTTAGGCCTGCAGCTTGCCAACTTAGTGGGCTCGTGACAGCTTGCAAAATAAGCGCAAAGAGAAAAGACCATTTAAAAGCAGATTGTGAGTTTCGGCTAACTTATTCATTTTATGTTTACATGAATCTTTTTTTCTTTCTTTTTATTATTATACACCACTCAATCAAGGAATTCACACTCTGCTATATGTTTTTGTTTCATGTCCCACAAAGAAGCAGACCTTCGGTCACTCGACCATCATCCAAGTGAGCCACAGCCACCGGGTTATTTCGAAGGGTTAAAAGTCAGGGCTTGTAAGTTCTTCTGCACCAAACTCATCCAACTAACTTGACATAGGACTTCGACAAAATGCTCCCACAAATATGGAAGTCTAAAATATGATCAAGTGATGCAAAAAAGTAACATCCATTTGCTTCTGTGTGGCTCTAATGACAAAACACAATCTCTTCACTTGGTCCAGAGAGAGGAACTCTGGATGTCACCATCTGGTAAACTCACTCATGGACAATGTGAGACTTTAGTGTGAAGTTACAGCAAGACTGCATAGCTTTCGCTTGCTCATTTAGAAGAAAGATTTGGAGGTAGTAGGTATACCTTTATAGAAAGTACCATAGCTTCTCAAGAAACATTAATGGCTGACTTATGGGTGGATGTCAGTGTGGGCTATTGTCGTCATTATATATGTGCAATAGTACCAGGCAGTTGAAACAGACAACATCAGCACACACACACACACACACACACACACGCACACACACACAATAAGAATAATCTCCACCTTGAAAAAGAGTTTTAATGGTACGAGAAATCATTCAACAGTTTTTGTTGTTGTTGTTGATGTTGTTGTTTTTGCTTTGAAACACAAGCAGCTATTTGAGAGACCAATGAACTGCTTGTTTTTTGGGTGGGGGCCGGAACGGATTAGGGGTTATTTCTATGAATTTCAATAGGGGAAGATGATTTGATTAACACTTGCATCTCAAGGTAGGCGTGTACAGTATACGATATATTTAAGAGGTCATCAATGGTTGGAAGAAGGCCTTTGATTTGTAATAACTGCTGGAAGATTTACAGTAAATTCGGGTCCCAGGTAACATTCCTCTCCTGTCAAAGCCAGAAAGGAATTCCCTGCTTGGAGTGGCAGGCATGAGGTCTCACACACACACACACACACGTGCGCGCGCTCGCGCACACACACACACACACACACACACACACACACACACACACACACACACACACACACACACACACACAAACACACACACACACACGCGCACACACACGCTTGTACACACGTAGATGGGACCACATTCATCTAGTATACCTGTCGAGGTATCAACAATGATGGTCAGCACAGGGTTTTGCAGCTTGGCCCCGCCCCGAAAAGCGTGAGGGGGAACCTCAACAGCACATTTCAGATGGGACATTGGAGCTCATCCCAATCTACAAGCCCTTCAAGGCTTGTGTAACATGAGCAGCGAGGCAGACAGATAGAAAGGTGGGAGGGGGGGGGAACAGACTGATAGAAAAAAAGGGGTGAGAGAGAAAGAAGGTAACCTGATGTCTCAGGGGTTTTCAGAACACTCAGCTGCTTCCAGTTGAAGTTTGGAGAACCTCCTTTGCTCCAAGCATACTCTGAACCAGTCTCTCGTTTGCCAATTTGCACTCTTCTAGTTGACTTATTTGTCTCAATCTGACTTCCAGGAAACCTTAACTTCATCACCCCACCCACTTTTCATTAGTAAGTAATTGGTATGCCTCACGTGTTTGAGGTGAATTTGTTTTTCTCCCATCAGCCGAATGTTCACGCTGGCCTCAATGTCAATTCAGAGGCTCCGCTTTCACTTAATAACAGGTGTTGAGAAGGGGTAAAGTCAACATCGCTGGAAAAACTCTCTCTTGCTTTGGGCTATCCAATATCCACACCACACGTGCTTATATTTATATGAAAAACTCACCACCGTTAGTGCTGCTTCTCCTTCTTTCCCCAGTGGGTGAAAATTTCCAGAAAAAGTTATTTTGATATTCCACCACACTCTCCTCCCAAAATTATCCCAAAGTCAGATCCTGCTCCTGTTTTCAAAGCCGCGTATCCAGGTCTGGCGCCATTCACGTCAGTGTGTCTTTCTCCCACACGCTTGGAAAATGGATTGATCTAAAACTTTAGTAACAAGAGTCCCAATACTGCTCCCTCCCTCCTGGTGTTCCTCACTGCAGGTCCTAGTGCCGTCTGCTGCTACATGGAGGGGAAAGGAAAATACAGTGGTGAGATGTAGAAACAGCATTTACCAAAATGCACAAATGTCCAAACATTCCCAAGTAAAATGCACTTTGACAAAAGTAAAAATGTGAAAATCACCGGTTAAAAAGTACTTAGCACAACAAACCAGTGCTTGCGAGCGCCAACTTTGACAGAAGAGGCCTTCATATCTATTACTTTGCTTTGACACTACACTCATTAAATTAAGAATTGAACTGATCTCAATGTTAGTGTATCGCTTTGGTGACATGGTGATATTTATGGAAAGCTACTGTCCATTCCTTACGAGTGGAGAGGAAATCAAAGGACTCAAGCATCAAGTTTCATTTTCAGATTATACTTGTCCACAGTAACAGGGGGAAAATGGTGTGTTGAGTCTACTCAATTTTAAGTAGATGATCAGCCTACTGAAAGAATGTAATTCAGTTTTATTTCATGCACACCCAATGAAATAAAATGGAATAAATTCAACAAAACCTTTTTCAATGTCATAATTTTCATGAGTGCACTGAATGATACAAAAGCAAAAAAAAAAAAATAATAAAACAAGAGGAGAACGTTTGCCTTGATCCTTTGCAACAGATGTTGATGAAGTGCTTGCATGTTTCTACGTGTTGTTTTGTTGTTTGCGTTGTTTTTAACCCTTGAATTCCACATTTTCTTATTCTTGAATTATGACAGTCAGCCACAGTATGAAATGCGTTTTTCAAAAGACCTTTCCAGATGGGCACATTTGGTGTGGACTGTAACAACTATGTCAGAAATGTGATGCAACATTCATGCAGTCAGAAAATAAAGACCAGTAGTTACACCCAGCTCCTCGTTGATGGCAAATAGAGACAGCAGCAAAAAAAGTTAACCCACACCCCTCTGATATCCACTCACCCAGGGTAGCTCTAAGGCACACCCGGCATTGACTCGGGCATCTAGACTGTGCTCTATACAGCAGGGACACTTCTTTCTTGTTGTGGCATCTTTATTTTGTCACTCTCCTCTCTTGTTTCGAAGTGCTTCTGTCTCGCCCGGCTTCTTTTTGACCCGAACCGTACTTCTGGCAGAGCCGTTGGCACTGACAGAGTAGACAGTCATACTACCCCCCTTTTCCCTGACAGATAAAAAAATGAAAGAAAGGAAGGATTGTGTGTCAGTGCCATCCCTTTCTCCTCCCCTTGAGAGCAAAGAATTCCTTCAATCTTCACATGATGTGTTGATCCTGTTTTGGTGTTGATGGGAAAACTTTATTGGGTGCAAACTTGCACCGGCCAAAAAAACCCAAAAACGGATGCTAACGTGCGGGTTGTGTCTTTCTTTGTATCTGTTTCAGAATGTTGAGCCACATATCTGAGTTCAAACGCCAGTGAGCATTTTCCTAATGCCCAAGCTCGTGTCGCTGTCAGATTTGTCTAGGCCCTTGTTATAGGGATGAGCGCTGAAAGGGGAAACCCCCAGATAGCGGACTGTGCCCTCACACTCGACTCTGAGGTCGTTTTAGGGTGAGAAATGTTGAGGGGGAGCGGGGTGGGGGTGGGGGGGCAATGCTGGGCTGGCATTGCGCCATAGAGGTCGTAAGTGCGCTAAAATGCTCATATTTCACACTTTGTGTCAGGGAGACCGTCTCAGACGTTGACCTGCGCAGAATTTATCTCACCTTTTTTAATCTTAACCAATTTGTACAAGTCAGAAAGTTTGGAGGACAATAGTGTTTATAATTTGCTGGCTGAGTCACACCTGTAACCACAATTAAAAAATGATTTAGTTCCTTAAATAAGAAAAAAAATCAAAAGAAAACAAAACACTGAAACATACACTTAGTTCGGCATCAAGACTGTTTCTGCTTGTTCCAGAAAATGTGCAATTAATCATTATTCAAGTGCATGTGCGTGCATGCATGCCGAGCAATAATTAGGATGAGTCATAATCAATTTACAGCTCTATAAATTCCAGTAAATTCCTGCAAGGACTTGAATGTGTTCCTGATCCTCACACACACACTGAATGGCTTTGTTCCAAACAAATGCGCATCATTATCATATTATTGACCTGAAGCATTGTCTGATCTGAGGATCAACCTAAAATGCACGAAAGCCTTCGCAGTTGAGCTTCATTTGACCTTCTCTAACCTTTGGAATGCATGTCCAATTAGTCAATGTTTCACTCTCTTTTTGCATATTTTGTTGTTTTCTTATGAGGTGTTCAGCAAAATTCACAACAACCATTTGATCAATGAATGGACCAATCCATTTCTGAGCTAAATTAGAAGTGGTATTTAAACAGTCCATTCTGCTGTTCTAATTTTGACACGGTAGTGAGAAATGCCTTTGAAGACTTGAAGATTTGGAGAAGACTCTTGGAAAACTACCATCGCACACTTGCTCACATTTGAAGACAAGCTGCAGAGGTTTTCGTCACAGTCCAGTCTCAGACTGAGATTTTACAAAAACTGCGAATTTTGCACGGTCAGAATTTACACGACTACAATTAGATTCTTTCGGCATTTTTTTCCCCCACAATTCAAAATGTTCCCGTCATGCTCAATTGCGTTGGTGTTTCTCCTTTTTGCATACTTCTGTTGTGATTGTTTGCAAATTTCCTGTTTCCAGTTTTCTTCAATCTCATCTATTGATTGTTGATTGTGTCACGTCACCTCAAAGCAGAGGGAGCAAATCCAACTCTGCCACAGTTTGACTTCAGCAACAGTTGCTTCTACTCAACTGGCAGGTAAGGGAGCTTGTTAAACTGATGGTTCAGTTATGAGTTTTAACTTCTGGGCCTGGATCTGCAACAAAGACAGAAAGACTTCAGATATCACACACGTTGGGTATTGTCAGAAATGCAAGACTAGGAAAAGACCTGATCTAAAACAGCTGAGAAAACCACCTTACACTTCACTTATTCTAAAACGAATTTCAGTTTTTATTCACAGTCTATGAAAATTGTTAGGAGTAAGCCCTACAAAGACACCAAACAAACAATCAACATCACCTCGCCAAGGCTTCCAAAAGGATTTTCTCAAAGGCAAACGTCCACTGATTTGAGCGTTGTCAACACCAGGTAATCGAGGTGTTGGGTTCGAGGTAAAAGATGGACCAAAGAGCAGGGACCAGTTTTTATTTACAAAACACAGGGAATAAAATCACTGTTGGGTTCGAGGTAAAAGATGGACCAAAGAGCAGGACCAGTTTTTATTTACGAAACACAAAGAATAAAATCACCGCAAAACAAACCATAACAATACTAGAATCATGTCACTAACAACAGAAAAACACAACAACGGCAACAATGAGCTAACACAGACTCGAAGAAAGCAGCGAAGTAAATACAAACAAACTGAGATGATGAGTCACACACAGACAAGACACGAGTAGCTGGAGGGAGCTGAATGGAGACAAAAGGAACAAGGCTGATGAGAACAGGTGGAAACGAAGCCCTAATGAGAAGCCATCCATCCATCCATCTTCTGATCCGCTTATCCTCACAAGGGTTGCTGGGCGTGCTGGAGCCTATCCCAGCTGTCTTCGGGCAGTAGGCGGGGTACACCTTGAACTGGTTGCCAGCCAATCGCAGGGCACATATAGACAAACAACCATCCAGCACACATAGACACCAAGGGACAATTTAGAGTGTTCCATTAACCTGCCACGCATGTTTTTGGAATGTGGGAGGAAACCGGGGAAAACCCACGCAGGCACTGGAGGAACATGCAAACTCCATACAGGAAGGCCGGAATCGGAATCCAACCCTGCACCTCTGCACTGTGAGGCCGACGCGCTAACCAGTTGACCTCTGGGCCACGAGTAAACATGAGAAGGGACATCCTGTGAAATGTATTGGTCGATTCATGAGTAAAACACTTGCTGTGAATTTTGCCGTGCATCTCCTTGTTGATGCCTTTTCACACAACAATCGCTCAGTTTGCAAAGGTCACGCGGCAGCATGGAATGACAAGGGCGCCCTGGTGCCCAATGTGCCAATATTTGGAAGTGCTGATGTGGCAGCCTCCCAGATTTTTGCCGCTGGTTTAGACACAAAGTAGACCACACCTCGACAAGATGTGGCTAAACGGGAAGTCAGAGAGTTGAATTTCGTTTGCGAGCTGCACTAAAATCACTTCAAGGTATATTTCAGGCTGAGCAGGGAGCAGTGTTTTCTTAAACATCTTACTGTATAATATCTCTCCTGTGTCCCAAAGCTTGGTAAACCAAGCCACCTAATTTCCTCCATTGTCCTTATGTTCTTTACATCTAAATAAATTCACCAAAATTACACTAAATCAATCTGCCAGCTCCTCTCCTGTTGGAGATGTTTGTTTTTTTTCTGATGTCACAGCGCCACTGCTCTTTGAGCAATTTTCAGGTTGAGGCGCCTTGCCATTGCTAAGTTCTGTTGCCGCACCCTCCAGCAACTCAATTCTGTGGTAGCTGCCTTTCACCACGTACACATTGAATGGTTTCGTCAATGGCATGCTTTGCCCTACTAAGTGCAGTGTGAAAAGGGCTTTAGAGAAGAAAAAGTTGTGCAAAAATGACTGGATTTCAAATGAAGTTTACCTGTAAAAGTGACATTTTAAGTTGAAAGTGAAATTTCAGAATATCCCAAGCATGCATGACAGTCACCTGCAATGTTTACCCTTGATTGTTTGCATACTCCATGTGTGACATCCTGCTTATTGTTGAGTTGCCAGGCTTGTCTTCTTACACCCTCGTGGTGGACAAGCGCTGACGTATCTGGAAGCCTCCTCACTCACTGACTCCACTGTAGCCTTCCTCCCACGGGCTGTCTTTGCAGAATCCCGCTATTGTCTCGTCAAGGACGGCCTGTGGCCTGCACAAGCTAGCGTGTAGCCCTGCGCGCACTCTCATACGCAGTACGTTCTCC